TTTAGTTGATGGTGGATAATGAATAGCAAACATGGAGGTTGTGTGTTCGATTCCCACACGAACCATTTTTTTTTTCTTTAAGGCAGTTTAGTTGATGGTGGATAATGAATGTATTGTATTGAAATAACAACAAACAACAACGTGTCATGTCCGAGCCTAGGCCGTCATGGAAGCTCACTGGCTCCTGTGTAATTCATGTTGAGCCAACTGCAGACGAAAAGGTTACAATCTTTTCAGAGATAAGCTGGAAGAAAGTTTTAGACAATGGAAGGATTATTAATACTGAGGAATGGAAGTTAGCGAAGTCCTTGGCTTGCTTAACCGTTTTTCTTCGATCGTCGCTTCCAACCGTCTAGGCGCGTCTAGCCTAAAGAGGGCCTACATAGCAGGTCGAGATCCATGAAAAGTCGTATATAAAGATGTGGGTTTACCCACATCTTTATATTTGCACAAGTAACTAAAATTGTTTATTAAGCAGATTAATCACACTGATAAACAATTGTACTACATTCGGCTGATGCATAGAGCCACCATTGAAGATTGAAGTTATGAAAGATGCAGCACGGATGTACTGTATACTTTAGTGAACTACACTTAAGTATACAACTGTGCTGTATACTTTAGTGAATTCATCACTAAATTGATGCTACAGCAATTTCGGCACTCAGAAAATTATAAAATCAGAAAACGTTCATGACATCTTCAACATATGAAATTTTGAAAACAAAATTTTGAAAACTCAAAATGTTTTTCTTACATTTACCAGTATACTAGAGCTAGCAATGAACGGAACATCTCTAAGTTGAAAGTGATTAAAACACCTTTGATCTACAATGGGACAGAATCGATTATCATTGTGTGGTTTTGGGGCTGAGGTGAGAAAATTTGAGGAAATAGTACCTCTAGGTGGCCGGAAATCACACTTTTATATAGTAGAATTCATCAACATCACATCACCATTATATAGTCAAAATGAAACGCCAACAAATTTCTCACGATCTTTTATCAGGGATCTACTTAATATCTAGGAAAACTTAGGCCTAACTATCTTACTAAGCTTTAATTATGCTATAATAATTATGATCAACAAATCACAACTTTTTTTCGCATTTAGCACAAGTTTCTTCAATTGTTATTGCTATTAATATTATTATCAATTATTACTATCATCATCATTATGATGATGATGATCATCATCATCATTGTTATTATTATTTTTACTATTAGTATTAATATTATTAAACAAAACTTGCAAAAGTATAAAAACGAAACTGAGCCATACAGTATCGCATTTCTATATCATAAAAGACCTGGCCTGAGATTTATGGATTTGAGATTTTTTTAAAATCACACTTAGGCCTATGTGTTTTATTAGGCCTATGTATAACGTGTACTGATGCATATTTACATGTTTTAGTAGTATTCATTTTGAGTGATCCCAGAAAAGAATTTGTATTGGCTCAAGAATGAGCTTTAAAATTTTAACACTGTGTACAAAGGGGGGGGGGGCGCGGCTCCCACGCCCCCCCCTGGGTACGTCCTTGGCGTTTCCTAGAGGTTGACAGGGATTCTGCTGCGAACAAATGACTGTTCTAAACGACTACTAACAGTTATCACTTAAACCAAACTAATTCCTCCATGCTTAAACCAAAACGGTATAATACAATAAGGTTTCTACTGACGGATTAAGGGGCAGTAAGGTACGACATCCTAGCTAGTACACTTCCAAGAAAATGTTTTAACGGTGTGTGAACATTCCCCATTTTATTTAGCTTAAGTATATAAAACTAATATACGAGATAATTGTTGACATTGTTCAATGGTGAATCCGACATATAAAAAACATCAATTCAAAAAAATATCGAATGTGCTGTGAAGTAGAATTGCTATTACTGCCAGTCCAGCCAATTGATGCCTCTTCAAAGATTCCCTCTGAGAACATCTAAAAAAAAAATTAAATAAATAAAAAAAAATAGAAAGATTTATTTTCAAAATAGTTAAAAATCGGGGGGACCTCCATCGGTGGGTACACATCTTAGGTGACATGGTCAATCAATTTCTATGCGCCAAGGGCCACGCTAATCTTAAACCAGGCCCCTCATATAGTAACGCCTGAATAGATGGGGGAAGGGGAGGGGCAGCTCTAGATGATCGGAAATAGCACTCCCATACTTAAATTTGAATATAATTTTCTTATTTTTAAAACTTTTTTTTGGATAAAACAAGCAGTGCAATATCTTCTGATCCAAAATCAGCAACGAATTAGGCCTATTCCTACATTTATAGAAATAATAATTATTATCATTTCAAATAGCTATGAAACTTTTTTTTTTTTTTGCCAAATATAATGAGTATTATAAAGATGAATGAAATAGGCCTATTTTGAAAATTTTTCAAATTCAAGATCGCCTTTGGGACGGACGTGATAGCGTTCTGTCTCCAGAGGTTAGATTTGAGGTAAAAGCTTGAATATTGATAATTAGTCACATTTGAGTTGAATGGCGGACTGTAATGATTATCATGGAAACATATCAGAAAGCGGGAAAAAGCATACTGTACCTTGATTTTAGTGGTCGGCATGCACTAATTGAAAATTATGATATCTGATGCGCACAAGTGGGTTATCGCACAACTTTGTATCCCGGTGGTGGCGCTGTCGAGCGTGCGCTTTCGTGTGTTTTGTGCATGTGTCTGCTTGATATTGTATCTTTCTAAAAAAAGTTTTTTTGTGTAAATTTCTCAAGAAATAAGCTTGATACAACTAATTTTATAATGAGGTTTGAACGTTTATGCATTCATATGTACATCGTATAATTCACGTAAAACTCATGTGGGTGACCTTTTTTCAGAAATGATACAGTGAAGTTCACTCTCAATCTGCAACCCAGACTGGGTCGCAATTCGCCGGCTGTCCACTAGGGTACTAGGCCTAGGCCTAGAGTAGACAAGGGCCGATTGTTACTAGCTAGGGCCTAACTAGGCTAGGCCTAGGCCCACTTACTGTTTTGTACTAATGTCGAGTAACCAGGCTAGGTGGGGCGTAGGCTTACAATATGTCTGTTTGTCTATATTTTAGTAGATAAATTATGTTATTGTTAGTTTCCTGGCGTCGTACATAGGCATAGCCTAGGGCCTAGGCCTAGCTGGCCTTTTTCTGAAATAATTCCTCTGCACAGAATCAAAACTTACTGCTGTCTGTGTACTAGAGGGCCATAGGCCTAGGGCCTAACTACTGTAGGGCAATGTGGTTTTACTGAAAGTTGAGAAAGGCTGAGGTCTACTTTTTTTTGGCAAAATTTTTACAGAAATTAGCCCCTTTGAAGTCATCAGACAGATTTCTTGTAACCCTATTTTACACAGCCTGGCAGTATATTTTACATATAAATCCAAGTAGAGTAAGCATAAGCCCACACTGTATTTATATGCGAATCGTATATCTCAAAATCCTACTAAAATTTGCAAGGAAAATCGCTTGGAAAATAAGTGCGCATAAACAAAAAACATTCAATATTAATAGTGAATGGAATTGAACCCAATAGCAAAGGATTTTGACAGTTCAGCGTGCACATAGTGGCTTCCACCAGATTAAGAAACTGAGCTATCTTTGTTTATCTTTGCAGGGAAGCACATACAGCAAGGCGTGGTCGTCAAGGAGGCCGTGGTCGTCCGTACAACAGAGGTTCACAACAGTAAGGAGACTAAATTACTGATACCTTTAAATTACAAAATATACATTAAAAACCATCCATGTATCATTGGGTGCACTAATGATGAGATATGCTATAAAACATAGCTAATTGTATTTGAACAAAAAGCTTTTCATGCAGATAAGATTATCAATGTGTGTTTGGTTAAATCTTTCCAATGTATTGTTTGTATAAATGCTCTTTACCGTATATTTATGTAAAAGTTACTTTTATTTTTTTCTTAGGTGGCGTGGATTTGTTCCCCATATACCCTTTGACCTTATACACTGTGAAAATGCTTTTCAGAGGGTGAAGCCAGCACCAGATGAAACCTCACTAACAGAGGTAATTTTTCTTTCTCCCCCCCCCCCCCCCCCCCCCCCCCCCCCCCCAAAAAAAAAAAAAATACAAAAATAAAAAAATCATTTTCAAGTTTGGTTAGCTCCCCGGCATATTACTATTATTAATACCATACTTCATTTCTACTACTTAAAATTACTACTACTAATAGTATTGCTGCTATTGTCATTGCTGTTAATATGATTTATTATTTCATTTATACTGTAGTATTATTATTTCTGAGATTCATTTTACTTTCTGATAATCTGCCTCAATTGTCTATCTTGATGTTACTTTAACTTGTCAAACATTTACTATCTCCATGTTGCTGCTTATTGCTAGGCTCTACTTAAGAAGAACCAAGAGCTAACCCCATCAGCAGCAGAGCAGGCAGCCTGTCTCAGCCTGGTCACCAAGGTCAACACAGTTCTGGATAATTTAACAATGGCACCACCACCTAACTTTGAAGTTGTAAGAGTACAGTTTGACTATTATGTTAATATTGACGACTTCTTTTTTTTTGTAGTTGAGACCCATTACTATTTTTCAAAAATATTTTACAGCAATTTGGTGAATACTGTTTGATCACAGAAAGTATATACTGTGTTGAAGATAGGAATTGCAGTGGTTAAAACACTCACAGACAGGAATGATTAGACAGCATGTTAACAACTCTCTTGATTACTGTAACTTAAAAGTATCAGCTCAGGTTTTTTTTGCATGATTTCCATTTTCTTCAATACATGTCAGATATGACAATGTTTAATATAAATAATATATATTATAAGTCAATCGTGACGTCATCACTGTAACTCCCAATGTTATTTGCCTATTCCCCAGCGTCCAATAATTTTTGTATTATTGGACGCTCGGCTTGATTTTTTTAAGGTCACCACCGCAATTTTTTTTCGTCACCACCGCGAATACATCGCACACTGCGATAAAAATTGAATTGTAATTGAAAATTACTTTCGTAAAACAAGCCTAATTAGAACCCGAAGAAAGTTACTTCAAATTCAATATTAAGTATGAACAATTAAGGAATTCATTGAATCAATGGACCCTCATAAACACAACAAACTGAACGTTTAATAGAAATATTCTAGACCTTTTTAAAGACTCAAGGAACAAATTTAGATGTACAGTGTAGGCCTACGACCATACAGGCCGCCCGGACCTCCTCCTGCTATTACTAGGCATAGGCCGTAGCCTGGCCTAGTTATGAAATCATCGCATGATTTTACCTGTCTGCATGCTCCGACCAAAAAGGACGTCAGTGACTGTATTCCCTCTTGAATGCTGAAATGTTTATTTGTTTGACGAAAGTCTATCAATATAGCATTACAAACAAGTTCCCTCTAACACAATAGTTATTCATCGTATCCGTACTGCTGATGTTGTTATGAGTTAAATGCGTACTGCAGGAGCAAAAATCAGCATGCGCACAGCTAAATGTAAATACGCACACGTATACTGATCATATCACTATAGCAACTGATGGCTGCTACAACAGTTGGTTATAAAAAACTAAAATTAAAAGACGGCGATTGACTTATAAAGCAATTAGTAGAGCATGCATCGTACACTAAACGGAAAATTATTATACTTAGGTTAGATTTAATGCTATAAACTAATTCTGATTACTGGCTTTGGAAGTGAAATTATCTTTTTTTCATGTAGTTTTTAGTATTAGTTGAAGTATTCCTTTAAATATTTTGTAAATTTTATTTGACTTTCTCTACAGTACCGCAAAAAATGATGCAAGCATCATTAGCAGCTATAAGGCATGCAAGATGGTCCGAGGAAAATGCAAGCCATTCCAGGTAAGATAATAACAATAATGGTAGTGGTAAAAGACATCAATAGGTAGAATGGCCTTAAAAAAGGAGGAAATTATCAGGATTGGGTGAACATAAGTTTAAAAATGTATTTATAGATGAGGCATGCCATTCCAAAAACAGAGTACTTTGTCAACCTGAGTGATTTGCAGGAATGTGGCAGTTTAATTGTATACTTTAGTACAGAGAATCAGGAATACTTTCACTCATTACTTTTTTTTCTATATTAAGATGATTCCATTATTAAATGACCTATCATTTTAAAGCTTAAAATGTGGAAAATATGAATATATTAAAAAGGTTTTTTTTTGCATTTTGGCCATTGATGTTGTGTTTAAGATGGCATGCCCTATATATCCTGTAGTGTATCTTGTATTTCTCTGCTCTGTGATGTGAATTCCTTGCCCCAACGTTTGTTTAGCAATGTAAAATAAATTCTTTACATCCTACCTACCAAAGGTTTACACTATGAATAAAGTGTTATGTTTGGTAATGTCTTTGTGCTTGAACTCATACTTATCGTGACACATACCAGGGGTTTGCCCATATACAGTATATGTATGATACAGTATGTCTTATAATGATGAGGAAAACTGAGTATGAAGATTTTTTCATCTTTTCTTAGCATCAAAGTGCTAATACGGATTTTGAAGTACTTAAGGACCAGGTTTGTAGGTTTGGAGCCACTCAACCCCTGGATAATTGATCTTCTTGTGAGTAATGTTTTATTTTCTTGTACAGTAGAAATTAATTTTATAGGAATAAAAAAAAAAATGCATTTAATATTCTTTTTACTTATACTCACAAAAACACTATCAATGAATTATAATTATGATATGTTAATTACTGTATTCAGTAAGTATAAATAAGACATGCTATAGTAACAAATGTAGTCATGGTGACACATTGGTCTATGTTCTTCTTGGAGTCTGTCTATATAATATCTAATCTGAAATTAAAAAGAAAGTGTTTGATGAATGGGCAAGAAAGCTACAATAAAGAAGATGTTTACAAACAGTAGCATCTTCTATTTCTACACATACCATATGTAAAGGTTCTTAATATTACTGTTTCTTCATCAGAAGAAAACATGTTAACTTAAGTTTGGTGTGGTTTGATTTTTCACAGGCACACGGTGCTATTATGCAAAATCCCACTCGTCAACCATTGGCAATAAATGTTGCTTTTCGAAGGTGTTTGGCTTTACTCTCAGCTGGGCTTTTCTTGCCTAGATCAGTTGGCATTGTAGATCCCTGCGAAGGAGGACATGTCAGAGTTCACACATCATTAACCCTTGAACAACAGGTAACCTTGTTTAATTGATGTTATGCATTATACCAGAGAGTGTCAAACTGCAAGAGGTCAGACTCTTGGGTTTTCGTTGGAACGCAATCCTATCTCAAAAAGTAGTACCACAAACTAAAGAGGGCGTCTTTCAAAAGAATGTAATAGGCGTTCGTATCGAAAATGTGCTGTGTCTTTGAATTCTTATAGGATGCCCCCTATCTCCTGGTAGTACTTTTTGTAATGCTTTATTGCGTGCATACAAAATCAGGGAAGTCGGACCTCTTGCACTTCTGTACTCCTTGAGTTTACGATAAGACATTTTGATAAATTTTATTATTCAATCAAGCTTTGACTTTGTTATTATATATAACCAATTTTTTTTCAATTTTTGTAAAACTCTTTGATTATTCTCTTACACAATTCTCAGGACCAAGTAGCCTACACTGCACAAACTCTTCTCAGGGTACTCAGTCATGGTGGCTACAAGAAAATCCTTGGATTTGAGGGTGATTCATGTAAGTTTATTTGCACTCTGTTAATAATAATAATGTTACACATGTATAGAGCATAATGCAAGAAAGAGCTGCTATGTACTTCACATCATAAAAAATATAAAAAAAAAAAAAATAGAAAACTATTTAAAACAAAAAAAAAATGAAATAAAGGCTCAACAAAATGAAAATGCAAAATCTCTGAGGGGTCACCATCCGCCACCACTCTAGCGCAATCCCGGTCCCTACCAAGGTGGCTTGACCAATGGAGTGGGATACACATTTAAGGTTTTTGAAAATGGATAGTGTTGCTGATAGCTTGAGATACTCGGGAAGACTGTTCCACAGGTGTGATGATGCAAAAGCAAAGGATCGATCACCATGAAAAGTTGTGTTTGTATTATGCACAACGATCCTTGACTGTGAGGATGATCTTAATCTACAAGTACAACATTGGATTGTAATTAATTGTTTATACTTGGAACCTCAGTATGAATTGATTTGTAAGTTATTAGTAGGACTTTATAAATGAGTCATTTGATGATGGACAGCCAATGTAGGTCATGGAGGATAGGTGTGACATGTGTGTATGGTTTTGCTCTTGTTACTAAACAAGCTGTGTTTTGAATCCTTTGAATCTTGCAGAGTTTTTCATATCAAATCGTAGCTGCACTTAACATAGTATATAACACAGAGAAAAACTTTCATTAAAACACGCAAGAATAATTTCAAGTAACTATTATTTTTTAAACGAGAATTAACAGATAGAACAAGTGTGACAGGCAAAACCTGTCAGAATATTGGTATTTTAAAATTCCATTAGGTTATCTAAATACAGTACCTCAATTACATTGCAAAGCAGTAGGGGCAACCTTGTATATCGCGATGAATGCTACGGGGCCCAAATATATACATTTCTGTTGTCAAATGTTAATTCACATAAACCTTGGTATTTATTTTACCGAAACATTTGATTTGATTAAAAACGTGTGTATGTGACTGAAAAACAAGGACTGTCATTCCAAACATAGAAAATATAATTACATTATAAAGTTCTTTTAGTGAAACCCATGTCAATTTTATTGTCCTTTCATCCATATTTGATAAACAAATTTAATAGTCATGTAACCACAAATGGAAATTGAAGGTAGTGCTTAGGGTAATACAATGGTTGGTGATATTTGTTTGATTTAAAAATGTTTAAATTTTGTAATGATCAAAACTTCTGTTACCGTAACATGGCATTTCTTTATCTGCTAACTTATTTTTAATCATCTTTCTGCCACATTTTGTATTCATACATTTATCTACCTATTCTTTTGCTGAAGACACATTCCACTAGGTTGGTCACATGACCTATAAATGGTATAAATTGGAATCGGACAGTGTCAATGACGCTGCAGAGCTTCTTTGGAGTGTTTCCGCTGTAAGGCACATAGGAATGCTATTAAACTACATGAAATTGATTGATTGAAATTTGCCATGATTGTTTGCTATGCTCCAAAAGATACTGGCCCCAAATATTGCAATTTGTCCGAGAAATGTTTGGCTTATAGGTACAGTATGTATCACTGCCTTGATCCACAAACTGTGAGACATGCTACGATTTCTAGACCAGCTCAAGGTGTACAAAAAAATCACGTAATTACCACCAAAGCCCAAAATACACAAAGAATGCTAGAATAAGTATATAAACACTAATTTGAGAAATTGCATCGTCTTTAATTTCTTATGTCAATAGTAGGTGGTTGTTTTTCAACCATAATTACCTTTTCCTATATTTTCACACTGATCGCACTGTTAGTTACATTCAATATACATCATGTGACCACTACTAATTCCTGGTCACAGAATTTATCTATTATATCCCATTTATGTGTGCAGTTAATGGTCCATTCACATAGATAGTATACTTTTTTGCACTCTTTGGATATCTGTAAAATGTGTACAATTCTAAAAGAAATGAATTCTCTATTTAGGGCATGAATACATGTAAAATTGAATTGAGGAGATCAGGATTGTAAATCAAAGTGCTTTGGTATTTTAAAAAGATGGATTTTGATCCCAGAGAGGATCTGTTATTAACTACATTACTCTATTGTACTTTCAGAAGTGTGATTCTAAAAGCATTACAGGTACTAAAGTATTTTAAAACTTCACTTGGGAATCAGAATCTGTAATTACCCTCTTTTAAATGAATGCTTACATTCACTGTTGACAACTCAACTATATTGCAACATTAGCTATTTGAATATAAACCAAGATTTGGTTGTTGTCATGGCTATCCCTTGAGAGTTGGAGGATGATGGTCTCTATGATCTATCATATATGTTGGTGGAATCTCAGAATGCTAATGACTGGCTTTGAAAAGTTTTTGGCATTCAGGGTAGGTTTTCTAAATGGCAGAATGGGCTTTGTTTGTAGCTGCTGTTATTTTCATAGTTTTTTTTCTGTAATTGATAATTTATTGGTATACAGTGGTTATCATCATCAGCACCACTTTGTTTTGTCGTGCAGGCTGTTTCCACATGTTTTTAAGCAAATACGACAGACCCCTAAAGTTTGAAAAAAAAACCCAATTAGACTATAAAAGATCTGGCATAAAGAGCATTTTGCAATTGTACTAGCATGTATTAACATTGTACAGTAGCGACACCCATGGCCAGCAAACTTTAGCGAGACAGTAATATACAGTTTTATTAGTAAAACATGCAAAGTAAGATAATCTAATCTTCGTTTATCATGAAATTTTTTCGGAGATTTTTGCTTGTTCAACAGAGTGAAGGAGACAGTGCCATTCTTCATGAGACTCATGTGAGACACAGTAGGCCTGTGTTAAAATCTAGGTATTAATATTGCTTGCAATTTCACCTACAGTAGACCATACAGCGTCAATCCTGGCTGAACATTTAACAATTGTGTTTGCTGCCCTCTATGTAAAATTTATTCTTGATCTGATTACACCTGCTACTCTCTTGAAAACTCCCAAAATAAGCTATATTCCTTCCTTGATTATATAAATGAAATAAAGCATTTACATCAATCTCATTTTATTCAACAATAAGATTTTATTTTTATTTTTTCCTCTACCGTGTTTATTAATAAATGTTTTTAATACCTAGCCATAAGGGTCAGAACTACATATTCCTTACTTAATTAAATAAATAAAATAAAGCATTCGCATCAATTTCATTTTGTTATTAAAAATAAGATTTTATTTTATTTTTTCCCCTACTGTGTTTATTAATAAATGTTTGTAATACCTAGCCGCAGGGGCAAGAGTTTTTGTCATGAAATACCAATTTTAATATTTGAATTTTAAAGTTTTGTAATGTTAAATATGTTCTTATAATTTTTAAGTTTTGTAATGTTAAATATGTTCTTATAATTCTTTTGGATGCATGTTATCTCTAGGCAAATATTTAACATTTAGTCTATTTTGTATTGTTTAGTGAGAGCTCCTTGGCTTGCCTCAGATCTGGAAGGATAACATTCGTAAAATATACTATAGAAATTAATCATCATTACACAAACTACGCTATTACAGTATTATTTAACAGCTAGTATGCGCATTACTATTATTAGTAGTAACGATTGACATGAACTCAAGTTACCTACAGAGCATGCAAGAATTTTAAATATTTTATACCGGAGTATAAATATATGAGCTTATAAAATATAAATTGTTCTCATAATGAAATACCAGGTCACTATAAATTAAGAAGGCATTTGATCAAGAATAATACAGTATATTGATCAATACTATCCCTTCACAGTGGTAACATCTGGGTTGGGGCTGAGATAAGAAAAGTTTGATTATGGCACCTCTAGATGGCCGGTTTTTTTTTTCTCTTTTATTTTGGGGGAGGGGGGTTTTGGTGCCGGTTCGCTCGACCCCCCTCCCTTGAATCCACCACTGATTGTGTTTCTCATCTTGATAGGCACATCGCATACACAACTGTACAAAAACTGATGTGGCCCTAATCATTGGGGAAAAACCTTGTGAGAAATAAATCAACGTTAATCTAAAGAACTGCAATGATTTATTTCATGTTAGCAGTCCGACAAAACATTACGACCAATTATCAATGTTGGCCCAACAACCTGTACCCAAACATCCTGGCAGTTTATCATCCTGTGAGAGGAAAAATGATGACATGAATGACTAGAATTATGTAGGCCATTCAGATTTATTATATTTACCAGTTTTACAGTAGTGTGTGTGTACATGTGCAATCCTCTATAAAACTGATATGACCTTAGGCTTATTTTAAAGGTAATGTTGACTCTCAAAAAAATCTTACATTGATGGGCCCCCTTTTTTTTTTTATTTCTGGATCAATCAATGATATGTTAGTTGTGTATAATAGTCATAAATTTAAAAAAAAATCATTTTTCATGACTTACAGACATATTTTGGAAATCTTCAAATCTTCTGGCAAAAGTTCAACAGCTGGTATTTAAATGTCAGTTAGTGAAAAACATTTTTTCTTGTATTAATCGTTAGTTTAAATCTAAGGTAGGCCTACCTACTTATTGAAATATATACAAAAAGTAGGATTTTTTAAAAAATTTATGTGGAAAATCTTTTAATTAGTTAAAAATACCTATTAGCTGCCATCTTTTGTTTAAATGAAATACAGTAAGCATAATTGACAAGGATAGTGGATGAGGGAAGAGGAGGCTGTGCCCCAATAATGTAGAGTATACTGTGTATACTTCATGCTTTACTATACAAATAATGAATGTTTATGAGTGCAATGAAATGAATATTTTCATGAGTTGAAAGATTGACTGTAGAATGGAGCAGTCAATCTTTCAACGAATGAAAACATTCTTTCCATTGCATAAATACAAACCATTCATTATTTGTTTTATAACACACCTAAATAGATCCTTGTCATTTGATCATCTTTCAAGCTAGTGTCACAGACTGTAATTGTAAGGCCTGTCGTCTGCTTGGGGAATATATCCTCCGCACAAAACCTAGGACCTAGGCCCCCTAAGCCTAGGCCGGAAATCCA